TTCATCGCCTAAGCAAGCAACCCACTTTTGTTCTACTTTGAAGTCCTCCAGGTGTTTTGGACTTCAACTCCCAGAAATCCCAGCCATTTTACCAGCTGTTAGGAATTGTGGGAGTTGAAGTCCTGGAGGCGCAAAGCTTGGGAATCACTGCTTTACAGGGCTGGTGTCTCACCAAACTACGACTCCCATGATTCTTTAGCCCGGGCGGTTAAAGTGGAGTCAAAGGACCAGCATAGATATTCATATAGATGGGTCCACTTCCCCGTTTGGAAAGAGGGAAGATCAACATCTTCCCTCTTTCCAAACGGGGAAGTGGACCCATCTATACAAATATCTATGCTGGTCCTTTGTGAGCCAGGGGGCCAAGCCTTCTCCAGCTGGATCTCGGCCTTTGCGGGCTGCCTTAAGAGCAGAGAGAGGGAGGGCGGCTGGCTAGTGGCTACCTTAAGAGGAGAGAAGGGGAGGAGAAGGAGGAAGAGGAGGCGTTGCCTTGCCACCAAAAGGCCCGGCCCCGCAGAGGGACCCCGCGGAAAGGAGAGATGGCGGATGCCGGGGGAGAGGAAGCGGATCATGGCACCAGCCGCAGCCCAGAGGCCCCCCAGCCCCCCGGGGCCCCCCTCAGCGCCACAAGTGGGCAGGCAGCAGGTAATGTCGGGGTCCCGGGCTAAATAGACACCAGTAGGGAAAATCTGGGCAGCTTCCTCCCAAACTACAAGAGAGGAGATTCCATCTGAACATGAGGAAGAACTTCCTGACTGTGAGAGCCGTTCAGCAGTGGAACTCTCTGCCCCGGAGTGTGGTGGAGGCTCCTTCTTTGGAAGCTTTTAAACAGAGGCTGGATGGCCATCTGTCAGGGGTGATTTGAATGCAATATTCCTGCTTCTTGGCAGCAGGGGGTTGTACTGGATGGCCCATGAGGTCTCTTCCAACTCTTTGATTCTATAATTTGGACCTCTCCCTTCTGCCTGGCAAGCCCTGGGCGGCATGGCTCCAGAGCAGAGATCTCACCAATGAGAGAGAGCATCAGAATCTTACAACCACACAATTGTTCTTAAAGCCATTTCCTGATTGGTCCCATCATAAAGGCATGAAAAATGTTTTATTGAACTGCACAAACTTTGTTGTTGTGGGACATCCTAGAATCATTAGGCAGAAAAAACGAAAT